AGTAATATATTTACTGAGAAAAATGGTGACGTGTTCAATACTTATTTTACCCGCTGTATCTACATATATACATTACAACTATGACTTTTGGCTTTTGTAACATCCATACTTTTCAAAACATTTAACATGATGTTTTGTCCTAAAAAATTAATTGAAAATGCAGGTTTAAAACAAAGAAAACATTACTTTAGCTGCTTTCTTCTAATAGTAGTTTTTAGGTACTTTTATGCTAACATATTTAACAAATTTTAGCTTTTAGCAATTGGTTTGATTTCTTTGTATGTATGGATCACTTGGGTTGTTACCGACATCTGGTGAAAATTTCATGTCATTAGCACCTCTAGTAATATATTTACTGAGAAAAATGGTGACGTGTTCAATACTTATTTTACCCGTTGTAAGTTGCTAGAAGTGAGTGTTTTGAACTAAAATCATATTGAGATGAAGAGATGGAGCTGTTTTGGTTGAAACTTGTAACATAGTTACTTGATTGGGGTATAGAATTAATGTATGCGCCTGGAAAATGCATAATACCCCCACCTCACCCAACCACCCAGTGAAGGAGTAGCACAAATCAAAGACTGAATTAAAAATCTGCCTCACGTGGAGGAGTTTAAGTATCTTGGTGTCTCTTTTAGAGTGGCAGACGGATCGACCAAGGTCTCATTTTCAGTAATGAGGGCGTTGCTTCTGTTGGTCATGGTGAACAAAGAACTGGGTCGAAAGGCGAAGTTCAGGATTTACTGATCTGTCTACATTCCAACCCTCACCTATGGTCATGACGCGTGGATCATGACCGAAAGAATCAGATCCTGGACACAAGTAGCCAAAATGAGCTTCCTTTGTAGGGTGACCGGGCTCAGTCGTAGGTCGTATACACTTCATAGTTCACTAGACTCGGTCCAACTGGGGACCAAACTCATTTCAGCCACTTGTATCTGCAATCTTGTTCTTTCGGTCACTACTCAAAGCTCGTGGCCATAGATGAGGGTAGGAACGTAGACCGACCAATAAACCGAGAGCTTCACCTTCTGGCTCAGCTCTCACTTCACCACGACAGACCGGCACAGCGCCCACATCACTGCAGACGCAGCATCAATCTGCCTGTCAATCTCCCACTCCATTCTTCCCTCATTCGTGGACAAGACCCCGAGATACTTACACTCCTCAACTTGGGGCAGGACCTCCTCCCCGACCCGGAGAAGGCACCCTACCCTTTTCCAGCTCAAGACCATGGTCTCGGATTTGGAGGCACTGATCCTCATCCCTGGTTTTGAGAAGCTGGTTTTGGCAAATGCGTCAAGCAAGTAGTCTTCAACAATGAGCTCAACATGAGAGGAAGATGAGGTGAAACCGTGGAGAATATTGAGATGGCTCCTTATGAGGCAGCGTTCACCGAGAAGGAGCGCGTCCAGCTTTACAGCAGTGATGCCTGCCTTATACAGACATCGAGTGAGGTATTTACAAGATATGARTAACTTTATTACTGTTATTACTCAGAATGTCCTGTGGTATAGTCCACTTCCTGCTTTTGGAGTGGTCTCTAATCCGCTGACATTCACACATGCAATCATACCACACC